GGTTGCATTTCTCGCGTCCCGTCTACGTGAAACAATTAGTCATTCTTATCATTTATTCTTTCAGTCTATAAGACTAGGATTCTAATTATTATAAATGTTGCAATCTGATGGAAAATTGTCAGAAGTCACTCATTTTTCAAAATGTTCGTCATAACTGGCCATGACATGTTAATGTTTGCTTTATTAGTCGAGGAATATTTGTTGTAGTGAATCCCGGAGTGGGCCATTTCATTTGCCATTCCAGGGATTCACATTTTTAGCATTAAGCTTAAAGACAGAACTCATAGATTATGTGTCGAATTGAGTGGTGAGCTATTCCTCCTGCCAGTGTATTGACCTAAGCCGACGTCCCAACTAGAACTTAATCTTTTTATCATTTACTATTCTAGAACCTAAAACTGACAGCTTGAAGGTCTCCCTGGAGAACGAGAGTCGAAATATTGGCAGAACCATTGAAGACACCGCCAAGGAGGTGAGGACTTCGGTCACAGCGAAAACGTGAAAGCCCGAGGTTGTCATGTGCTCAAGTACTTTTCGGTCTGCGGCTCAGTCACCGTGCATAACCGCAAGTTGATGCTCGCACCTCGAACACTGTTCGAAATAGCAGTTTTCAAAGTTCCAAATGCCTGTTCAGTCTCCACCTCGGAAGCATAATCCGTAGAGCGTTGGCTGCGCAAAAGCCTTCCCTGCTGTGTGGTTTCGACTCCCACCGAGGCCGTGCATTTTTCACAATTGCGTCAACTGAACAAATGATTATGCTGAATCTGTTCAAATAAACGAACGACCTCTAGCGTTAGCGCCATTAGAAAATATATGCTTAATTTCGTGTGTAGTGCCGTAATTCGATTGAATGCAGGGAAACCACAGCGAAACAAGTACACTCTAAAGTGTCTGCGAGTGTAAAGCTGGCTGTCAATAAGCATGGGCGAGGAGCCCGATAGGGGGAAAAATTCCCATAGGCAAGTGTTACTTAAATATAGCAAGTGGTATTACAGTAGCAATAAGTTGTTTGCGCAAGCCTCAAGATTAAATAGGTCGGGTGGTATCATAGTGCGCACTGCTATATCGGTCTTGCTTCCTATTAAAAACTTCTACGAATGCAGACATAAGGACAGCCATAGATAAAGTAATCCAAGTTTCGACCATTCTGTTGAAGAAGACGAATTTTCGAGTGTTGAGCCTGGTCCCAGTCATAAGTAATTTGAATGAATGACCTTTTAGGTTCGTTGGTGTCGTTGACTCGAAGAGGCCTCCAGATACAAGACAGTAGTCCTGTGTTCCAACTTTATCCTTAACCTTATTCCCACTCGAACTCCTCCTGAAAGTAAGCGCGAGGCCAAGTATAATACGGGAGGACGTTTAAACGTGTCCATTTTATCAAATAATCTGCACTTTTCAAGTCCACTTATGAGTGGAACTCTGAGCCCATGCATGACCTGCTATCGTAGTCACAAAAGAAATTCCTGAAAAATAACCACATTGGTTTAATTTTTAATCTTCACTAGAATGAGTTTCCTTCAATGAATAAACCAAGTGCTGAGAGTATCTCTTCATGTTTGGCCATCCTTTTTAAGGTTGTCAGTTTTTGACTACAATGTTCTGCGCAACAGGGTTAAAACGTCCAAGAGCATTCCCATGTATTAAAGTGCCTCGTCTCACCATGATGAAAAAGACGTGATCCTAAATGATATTATCTAATATATCTGACAATTACCCAGAGTCTATCTTAACCGAGCTATAAAACGTTATTGAGACCAGCTGCCTTGGAGAAAAACTAGGATATACGCTAACCGTGTATGTAAACCAGCCAATTTTTCTCGTAGATAATGAATATGCAAAGAAGGCTGTGCTATGAAGTACCGCGCCCCAGACCCTCGGCCCTGGGCGGAGACGCAACCCTTGAAGAGCTTCTGA